AAGACCAAGTAGGGGTGTTAGATGTGACTGATCTTGTGATGCTCAGTAATATAGGCAGCAACCCCACATAGGTCTCACCTGCCAAATCCCTGTTCTTGTCTTCATCACTCTTTGTTTACCTGACTCTACCACTGCAGTTACAGTTCTATATCTAGCAAACTGACAACTCTGTAAACTCCTACTTTCCTTTGGCCATAGAACATAGCCTGGTTTCATTAACAGGAGCCAGTCTGCTTCCTCCAGTGAGTGCAGCCCTGTCCTCCCACTCGCACCACACAGTCCCAGTGGGCACTCTTTCCTTCAGTTCCTTTGTGATGCAGCTGTGTACCCAGTAAGTGAAAAGGCCTTGTTCTGAGCCAGCATTGATTTCACTGTTTTTAGAGCTGACATAGGGTGGCTTTCTTCTCAGTTCTTGGATTCTGCTGCCAGACCTGAGAGTTAGATGCAGTCCTGCTCAGTGAGGTCCCCGTGGGTGTGGGCAGCCTGAATTTTCACAGTGTGACCCCCTTCTGGGCCCCAGAGCTCCTGCTTGCTGCTCTCCAGCTTACAGCAGTCCATGCCAAGTCCTTCTGTCTTTGGGTGATGTCTCTTCCATTTTCACCTTTAATGACTTGTGAGTTTCATGATTTTCCTTGCCCTGTCATGTTCCCATGACTTCCTTACTCCTACTTCCATCCTTTCTGCCTCCTGTTATGCACACACCTGCCCACTGGTGGAGAGAGAGAGGCCTGATGCAGCACAGCCTCACATCCTTTCATCAGAGTCAGTGGTTTAATAGCGACTCCATCCTTTTGAGTCCTGCTGCTGTGGGAGGTGTTCGTTCGGCACATGTCATCTTGCAGTCCTAACAGGAGCCACCACTGACCACCACTGGAGAGCCAAGGCTAAGTATCTGAGACCCATTTGAGACGAAAGCCTGGGTACTGGAGTATCTGTCAGCCTCATCTAATGAGTAAATTGGTTAAGATGCTGTCCCTTGACTTTTCCTTGATTATGTAAGTGAACATAAACTTGGGAAGCTGAAATGCAGTGTACATGTAAAAAACAGCCTGAGTCATATGTGCACAGCCCAGCTGCCTTCCACAAAGGATGTGAGCCAAGCCCCAGAGGCAGCCACCACACTGACCTCAGCATTGCTGTGGTATAGATGCCACTGTACCTTATGCAGTGTTTGTGTGGCCTCATCTTGAATTCAGGCTTGATGGATGTTTAGAAATGTAATAGTTCCCCTTTATCTACAGCTTCACCTTTGTGGTTTCAGTTACTGCATCTATAAGAAAAAATAATTAAGCATGGAAAAATCCAAAAATGAACAACTTAGGAATTTTAAGTCCCAGACCATTCTGTGCAGCAAGAGGAAATACCACCTGGCGCTTCCTGCCGGGGAAGGGAGGCGTCCTTCATGCGTCGTGTTCCTGCTGTGTGTACTGCCTGCCTTTCAGTTTTCAGATGGCATGTCCCGGCAGTGTAGCGCTTATGTTAAAGAACTCGTGTGTGACTTACAGTAATTCCAAAGCACAACCTGATAGTTCTGGCAATTCCTGTGCTGCAGAGATGTTGTGAACTACTTCCTTAAATGATAAGGTGAAAGTATAATATATTGAGAGGGAGGGACCACATTCATATAACTTTGATTAGATTGTTGCAGTTGTGTTATCACTGGTTTTAATCTCTCAATGTACTCAATGAGTTAAACTTTATCATAGCATAGCTCTGGGGTTTCAGGCATCTATACCAGGGTTCTGGAAGTCATCCTCTGGAGAAGGCGATTGACTACACCCAACTCTTCATTTATAAATTCCTTTCTGGGTAATGATACTAAATCCTCAGCCATTAGAGAGAGAAGTTTCCTTCTGGGGAGCTCTTGCACATTGGTGTGATGTACCCACACTGGGGCCTGTTCTTGGCTCCTTTGCCCCGCGTTCCCCCTTGGATTGCTGATTGAGACCTGCACTATTGTGATCTACTCACTTGATGACACTGGCCAGCACCATGGGCAGTGTGTGCTTCCTGGGATGGATGGGTGCTCACAGCTCTGCCACTGTTCACTGCTCTGGGTCAGCTGTAAATTGCCTCTGAATGCTAACCACAAACCTCCTATGAGTTAGAAGACACTTGAGCAGGAGGAGGGTGTCCTCCCGAGACTGGTGTGTGCAGCACGACCTGCACTCTGTCATCTGGTACATCCGGCTCTGTGCTGAGCAGGCATCCTTGCCCTGTGCATCTGAGGTTGTTGGGAACACTGACGACGCCCACCCAGAAGCAGCGCCCACCTGCAGCATTGCTCACAGGCAAGGTGATCTTAGAAGAAACAAGCAACCAGGTGGTTTTAATTTGTGGAAATTTACCTGCCATATTTTAACATCTGGATACTCATTTTGGACCCAATTTTGGTCCCAGAACATAAATAGGGGTTGTAGAGTGCTTGACATAGGGTTCCTTAGAGTTTGCTGCTAGATTTTTGTCCTACAAGAGTTATTTGAAGCTCAGAATTATGTAAGACAGGAGTAGACTTTAAACTCTCACAATTTGGTGGTCTTTTCAAAGGCAACAAAGTGCTATTTGATTTTAGCTCCAGATATAACTCCCATAAGTGGCATAGGCTGTGTACTAACTGTAATGTGTATATTTTGAAATGTTGTGGGCTTTCTGTATTGCTAAGGACACCAAAGGAAACAAATGAAATTTAGGCAGCATGATAGAGCATACTTATAATTCCAGTACTAGGGGAGGCTGAGGCCAGAGGTGTGCCCATTTGAGTTCTGCCTGGGCAACACCTGGGTTTGATCCCAGTACCACGAGTGGTGGGATAGAAGAGAGAGTATGAGAGATTGACTTTTTGGTCTGGTGATGTGAGTGCATTAAAGTATGTCGTTTTCTGTGTGCATCTGTGTCCAAAGCATTCTGCATGGTTCTCATTATGTGTGTTCAGTTACTCAAAAATAATATTATTAGAGATTTGAGCCAAATAGCCATTTAACATAACTAAAAGCAGCTTTCTGGAAGATAATGCATATCTAAGATTGGGTTAAGTTTAAGTTGTCATTCATTTAATAGTTAGCTTTTATGGAGAGAAAATAATAGCCTCTATTTTATTTTTAAGGTAAAAACATGGATATTAAGTGCAGGCTTATAAAAATCTGTCTTGTATCAATTTTCCTTTGTGTGCCTGCTGTATTTACAGAACTTGAGTTAGTATTAAAGTTGCGGCTGAGCTCTGTGCTAAGTGTCCCTGTTGTCAGTGGCCACAGCAGCGTGAGCTCAGATTTACCTTGAGAGTGTGGCAGCAAGGAGGCTGCGCATGCTTTAGTGTTCATGATGTGGACTTCCTATTGTTCTCTCAGCTCTGTAAGGTAGATGTGTCAGGAGGCAGCATTAGTACACCTAGTTCTTCAGTCCTCTAAAGGGGCTTTACTCTGTGCATGTTTCTGTATGTACTGGCCCTTGGAGGCTAAGTAATAATTTAGACCATTGGAAGAAAAAACATCGAAATGTGTAACCATCAATTCACTTGAATTAAACAGGTGAAAGAAACAGTACCAAGGTACTTTCCTTTAGAAGATACCAGCTATCAGCATCACTGGATGAGCAGCACAGCTCCATAGTGTTGTCAGGCTCTGTGCGTTGTGTCTGTTATGGCTTGTGTCTAGTTGTTCCCCCAAAGCCTCAAGCGGTCATGAGGTGTCTTCTGGAATTTGTGATGGATTATTGTGCGTGTGGGTGCTGCACTGCCCTTGGGCAGGTATTTGCAGTACAGTGTAAGGAGGGAAGAGAGGCTAGCTGCTGTCTGAGCTGCTGCCACGCCCTTTGCTCTTCACTGTTTGCCACCACCATGAAAGGCTGCTCTCTGCTCTGTGCTCCTCATGCCTTGGAGCCAGAGGAGCATGGACTGAAACCTCCAGTAACTGAGCTAAATAAACCTTTCCTTACCTAATTTTGAGTGTCAGGTATTTGTCCCAGCAAGAAGAGTGAAGTAACCAAGACCGTCCTTCTGTCCCCACATCCCTCAGGAGTTGCTGTCTGTTTGGAAGTCATCTTGTCATCTCAACAGCTGTGGGAGCTCACTCAGCTGGCTTATTTTTCAGGCAGTAGGAAGGAAGATGAGAGGCGAGCAGTATCTTTTTTCTTTTAAATAAATTGATAAGCCTTTGTTTTTAGTATACTTGTAGGCTCACTGTGGAGCTGAGCAGAAAGTGGAGTTCCCACCTGGCCTCTCCTTGTGTCTTCAGGCCCTGGCCACATTTTGCGCTGCTGCCGGCTTCTCCTGGTCGACAGGGCAGCCCTGGACCATGGAGCTGGGGAACTGGGCTGCTGGTTACCTAGGGGCCCCACTGAGTCAGAGACTGAAAGTTGGTTGGTCAGCTTTGTCTGTTAAAAAGAAAAGAAACCTGTTACAAGGCTGCTTGATACAAGAATCTCTTATTTTCTCTTTTAGCCAAAAGTTTGAATCCAAGTTTTAAACTGCTGTGTTTTGAAACTGGTTTTGTTTGTTAGAGTTGATATAGATGCTCTATTTACTGTGTCAAACTGTTAGGAGTTTCTATGGACTTCATCTTAAACTCCTGAAATGATGGCTTTTAGTTACACTAAGAAATCATTCAGTTATGCAGAGTTGATTAGGAAGCACATTGTTTTATATAGGATCTAAAAGCATACTTTTTAGAGTAGATAAGCACAAATTTTCAGTCATTTTTTAAATTTGTTTATTTATTTGTGTGTGTGTGTGTGTGTGTGTGTGTGTGTGTGTGGCCAGCCCAGCCCACCAGGGGGCGGGGCTTTCAGTCATTTTAAAATAGGGTATAATATAGGTATGATAGTCCCTAGATTTAAGACATTATTTATTTTAAATCTGTTCTGTTGTAGTAAAACTTGATTTCAGAAAGTCATCCCAAGGGAAGCCTAGCTTCTCATCTGTCTTTTTACGTGAACAGAAGCTGGGGCTTATTTTTCACAATAGCTATGTTCTCTTTCCTCTCTTTCATTGGCTCCGTGCCCCACAGTGCCTACTCCTTCCACGTGACTGCAGATGGTCAGATGCAGCCAGTCCCCTTCCCCCCTGACGCCCTCATAGGACCTGGAATCCCCCGACATGCTCGCCAGATCAACACACTCAACCACGGGGAGGTGGTGTGCGCAGTCACCATCAGCAACCCCACGAGGCACGTGTACACGGGCGGCAAGGGCTGCGTCAAGGTGTGGGACATCAGCCACCCTGGCAACAAGAGTCCCGTATCCCAGCTGGACTGTCTGGTGAGTGAGCAGGCGCCGCTGCACTCTGGCAGTTTCTCCCTGGAGGCTCAGAAAGGAAATCACTGTCCAGGCCTGGGTTTCTCACCTGTCAGGAGGAGATAGGAGCCCTCTTATTTCCTGTGTGAGCTGTTTCTCTCCCTGACACTCCCTTCCTGCAGTGAGGATTCATTTGTTGCTGTGGAAGTGGTTGGATTCCAGTGTGCTTAGATTTCTTGAAAATAGTTCACAGTGTATTCTAGAAGCTCTCAATGGTCAGAGGCGTGATAAAGGGGGTTTCCCATTTAATGGATGAAAAGCACAAGGAGACTTGCACCCTGGTTCCTCTTCATTTTTCATTTCCTTACAGCCTACAGATAAATGTTAAGTAGTAGACATTTGGTAGTGAGGCTTGAAAATCTCTAAACAGGGTCTGTTTTGTTAAGGGAGATCTGGGAAAGCTGGCTGGTTTTACTACTGTAATTTCAGGAAGGGTTAAAGTATCACACTTCTAAGATGCTGGGCAGGCACAGGAAGAATGCCTTCCTGAAGCATACAAAGTTCAGGAACACCAGTTTGCATTTCCAGGGACACGGAACATGCCGGGACATGTTCAGGGTGGAAAGTGTAATCTCGGGATGTACAGACACCTGGTGGTCATCCACCAGGGGCACAGCACAGTTCACCTAATGCCTGTCTGGGAGAAGCAGTGTTTCTGAAAAGCAGACTGGCGGTGTTCTTGAGACACACAGACTTTTGGAGGTGATTATTACCATTTTAATTACTTAAAAATAGCTTTTTTAATAAAACCCAAATTTCAGCCCCAGTTCTACAATAGTAGCAGTGTTCTCTTTTGCAGTTCTGTGCTTAAAGTCTCTCTAATCTTCTGGAGACAGAATGATGGTAAAGGGTCTGAGGTGGAAGATAACAGCTATTTCTTTTGGAGGTGGATCATATGCAGTCCCATCCCACCTCTATCTGTCATGTGTGTTGAGTTTTTGATGGAGCAATGCCACCATTTATCAGTTTCTTTGGCCTTTCAATTGAGAGGCTTATGAGATAGCTGTTGCATTATAACCTGAAGCTGTGGTATCTGCCCATAATTCCAGCCTCTCCAGAGGCTAAGGCAGCTTTGCCAGTTCAAGTCCAGCCTAAGCAGCTTAATGAGGTACTGTCTTTATGTGAAATAAAAAGGGCTGGGTATACAGCTCAGTAAAAGAGCACTTGCCTAGCATGTGTGAGGCCCTGGATTCAATCCTCAGTATGGCAAAATAAAACCATGAGTTAAGAGAGCAGCTCTGCTAACTTCTCAGCTAAGGATCTTCTGACTAAAGAAACTACAGTACAACATTTGGAAAAATGTTAAGACTGAAAACCAATGCACAGGTGGGGTCTGCAGTTCTCAGTAGCAAATAATGAAGAGTAGCAAGATAAAGATATAAAACTAGCTTTAAGCCCTTTTGCTTCCCAGACAAGGCTGTCTGTATACATGGCCTTACACCTACCTGATTATGGGCTGCGTGCAGGGCGGAGCATCTGGAACAGTCCTCTGAGCTTCCACACACAGCAGAGCAATCCTATCAGTTTGTTTAGTTTACCATTTTTGAGGAGACAGTTGCATTTGGACCCTGATCTTTCCTCCATAAAAGTCCATGAAAGGCCACTCCTCAATCAGAAACCAAGACGCATTAGAGTGCAGCACTGTTTTTGCCTGGTGCTGCATTATAGCAATTGGATGATGTTTCTTTCACAGAATAGAGATAATTACATCCGCTCCTGTAAATTGCTCCCTGATGGCTGCACTCTCATAGTGGGAGGGGAAGCCAGTACTCTGTCCATCTGGGACCTGGCAGCTCCGACCCCGCGCATCAAAGCAGAGCTGACGTCCTCGGCCCCCGCCTGCTATGCCCTGGCCATCAGCCCCGACTCCAAGGTCTGCTTCTCCTGCTGCAGCGATGGCAACATCGCCGTGTGGGACCTGCACAACCAGACGCTGGTGAGGTGAGCACAGATCGGCATTGGGGGAATTCCCTCCTGAGACTAGAGACAAGCCCATTGTTGTCCCCATGTCCAGTCCTACCATACACCTACTGCTGCTGCAGGCCTGGCAGGGACTTCACATTCTGTCCAGCCATGTGCCAAGCGGACTGCTCTGGCTTCTGCTCTTCAACACACCAGGGCTAGGGGGCAGGGAAGATGTGGCTTAGTGGCGCTATGAAGGGTCCTGGGTTTTTGGCTTTGGCTAGAACCTTGTTTGTACAAACGGGAGCCTGCTAATATAACATAAAAATCAACAAAGGGACATTAGAAGAGATTCCATGAAGTGAACACAGGAGCCCTGGTGTCTGTCTCTCAGTAGCTAGGTAATAGTTCTTCACAAGGTTTATCCCACTCAGGAGTGGGGCAGCTCTCCTGGCTTCTTGGAATCTGGCCCCCAGCCTTGGCTGCTGCTGGGCCTGTGCTCCCTTGGCCAGCGCTCACACTGTGATGTCCTGGGAAGTCTTTAGAAGTAAGCACTCAGCTGGGCTGATGGGACATACCTGATTGCAAACACTTTGGGCTGCTGAAGCACAAGCATGAGTTTGGCTCAGCCTGGGCACTCTAGCAACTAAATGAGACCCTATTTCAAGTAAAACATTTAGCAAAATGCACTGGGAGTGCAAAGGCACCAGGTTGAATCCCTAGTACTAAAAAGAAAGAGGAAGCGCGAAGACAGCATCAGAAGCACAGTTGGGTGTGTTTGGCTCTTTGCCACCTTTCATCATTGCTCAGAAACTGCCTCTGTTGGTGTAGTCTGAGGCCCATGGCTTATCTGATACTATTCCTCTGCCACTTCACACATGTAGGGACATAGAGGCCATCGTGACAGCCCAGCTCTCAGTCCTCCCGTGTAGAAACTTAGCTTCATGAAATCAGATTCTCTCATGGCACAGCACAGAGTGAGCAGAAGGAATTAGGGGAGCCAGGTCACAAAAACCCTTCTATTTAGAATGCAAAAAACTAAAGTTCCTTTCCTTTCTCCTTTTGTTTTCTTTTCCTTTCCTTTCCTTTTTTTGATTTCTTCTGTAACTCAGTACCCCTTCAAAAATTCTTCTTAGGCACTTTCCAAACATGATTCCATTTAGTTCCCATACGTGGGGCCTGCTGTGTCCCACACGAGGGAGGTGCCTGGGCAGCGCGACAGAATGGAGGAGCAGAGCTGAGTGCGGCGTGGTCCTCCTGCCCTGCTGTGCTCAGAGCTTTATGCATGAGCGCTGCACCACTCCAGTGCCAGCTCCCTCGTGGAGAGGGAGGTGCTGCCCCATCTCTGTGGAGTTGCAGTGGCGCCTGTGATGAGTGGCTGCTCTGTGTGCAGTACACTGTGTGTCGTGTTTCTTTGACACCACACCTCAGTGCACTCGTGGCTCTGTCTTGTGGCAGTGGGGCATGACCAACACTGAAGCTGGTGGGATGGAGGAGCGCTGTCGGGTGTAGCTTGCTGCTGTCAACAGGAAAAGATATCTTTAGAGGATAACACATTTATGGAATTAAAGAGAAGTCACAAGACAAAGGGCTGTGGGGAGGACTGGGTTTCCAGAGCATTGATGGAATCAAGGAAGCTGAGGTGACCTGGCTTGACTCAGCTTCCAGGACCACAGGGACACTCTGGAAGAATAGCCTGTGGGCAGGGAGACCACTGCATCTCAGTAGCCCCCCAAAGTGGGGTGCTCTGGACAACTTGGGAGGGACATCTTAGCTCAGAATGCAGAGCAGCAGAAGTGCTTTTTCTTCCTGTGCACTCTTAAATGCCAAACTCAGCTTGAAAGTTTGGAGCTCTGTGGGAATAAGGAACAGGGTTGGGAGGTGGACCCAGCATCAGAATCCCTGAGCCTGTGCTCTCAGCCTGGTCTCATTGGCTGCTGGGGGCACTTGGGCCTCTCTCCCTCCCTCACAGCATGCACCCCCCTGCATCTGTGCTCAGCCAGTCCCCATTGTCTCCTGAGGAGACAAACCTTTTGCTCAGCCTGGAGGCCGGGTCCTGCCTGTGGCGATGCCTCAGTAATTAGCTTTCTTTTCAGCCCACTGGCTGAGTCTGCATGCTGGTGTGACCTTTTGTCTCTGAAAGTCCAAATTTCCTAATGCAGGGCTCTTTCTAACTCAGAAAACAAGGTTGAGTAAAGGAGTGAGCTCATGCCCTGTTGGCACGAGTTGATTTGCTCGAGGGGAAAGGGTGTTTCTGTGACAGGGCCACTTCTCACAAAGTCAAGCCTCTACCTTTACTGTTGAAGGCCAGGCCTCTTTTGTTTCCTGAAGAACACACTAGTCTCTTCTTTATTTTCTTTTAATACTTTTCAGACCAGGGGAGGAGTCTTCTAGACAGATTGGCAAAGAAGCAAAAGCAGCATATCTGACTTCTGGGTAGTGACTCAAATGGCATTTCATCTCTTTAGCCCATGGATGGTGAAAAAAGAAATCAACTGTGCAGGCACATTTTCCTTTCCTCCCTGGGATGGTTAGTTTGATCTTACACATCAGCAGACATTGACGAGATGACACACATAGAGGCCAAAACTAACAACACAACAGTGTTTACCTTAAGCTCTGGCAGGAAATCATTATTCAATCTGGTTTGTTTTATCAGGCAATTCCAGGGCCACACAGACGGAGCCAGCTGTATTGACATTTCTAACGATGGCACCAAGCTCTGGACGGGTGGATTGGACAACACCGTCAGGTCCTGGGACCTGCGTGAGGGGCGGCAGCTGCAGCAGCACGACTTCACCTCGCAGGTGACTGGCCAGGCCCCTTCTGGGGACCTGTGGGACGGTCTGTGCATTGTCCCTCACTCCAGGGCAAAGACAGCTGGACTGGGCAGCTCAGCAGAATTCACCTTGAGATGACCTATTTCAGGAAAACAAAACACACAGATGAATACCCCCTGAAGTTCTCTGTCGTTCCTAAGGTGCTATAGTTGAAGGCACCTAGCTGCCTAGTCTGTGACCTTATGTAAGAAATTCGTACAGTGAGGTGCACAGTTTCCCATCAGCAGGGTTTGGCCTGTCAGAAGAGATGATGTGATTCCCAGTTAAACAGAGCTGGGAGTATCGCACGGTGCCTTGAGGAGGTGTGGAAATTTACAACAACTTCAGAGGTTAGTTCATTCTCCCTGCACCAAGGAGCTTAAGAAAATTAAAGCAACATCTCACTGGATGCCCATTTTATTACTTATCTCTTAAAAAATGGACTCATCACTAACTAGATTTATGGGGTTTGTAATAATGTAAAAATAGTAACTGGATTTTGAGAAGTACCTAGATCTTGCTTGGGAAAAGGCACTGCTTACATCTTAAGTGTATTCTGGTGCCAGACTTGTTCTTTATTACATGATATTTGCCTTTTTAATAATAAAGACAGCTCAATTTAGAAAAATAGACAAAAATGGGAAATAGCTATAGATAGTAGTGAATTGTATATCCCTGTTAACATTTTATTTTTGTTTACAGTCATCCTTATTCTGCCCTTTCCTAATGTGAGTAGGAATTTAGTTTTGATCTTATTTTTTAACTTCTTACAGAATTCTCAAATATATAGGAATACTGAAAATGTCCGAACATACATACAAGGACAGAAGTACCTATGCCCACAGCCCAGCACCAGCAGTGATTATACCCAGCGAGCCTTTCTCATCTGTTACTCCCCGTACTGCCCACCCCAAGCACTAGATTGTTTGAAAATAAGTTCTAGATACTGTAATTTTGTCTACGAACATGCAGTTGAAATCTTCAAAAATAAATTTATTTAAAATACACAAATACCCTTAGTATTAAGAATGATACTTTTTTTTATGTATGTATTTGGTACAAGGTCTCACTACACAGCTTGGACTCATAGTGATCCTCCTATTTTCAGCCTCCCCAGCACTGGGATTATAGGCAGGGATCAAACCCTGGCACCTGTGCTTACCTAAAAAGGTGCTTGGCCTGCTGAGCTCTCTCACCAGCCCAGTAATTCCTAACTAAATGTAGTTGTGCACACCTATAATCCCAGGAGCTTGAGAGGCTAAGGCAAATGGATTACAAGTGTATGACCAGCTGGGGCAACTTAGACCCTAACTCGTACCAAATAAAAAGGCCTGGGGATGTAGTTCAGTGGCAGAGTACCCCTGGGTTCAATCTCCACAGAATTGCATAATTTCATTACATATGATAGAAAAGTGCTGGAATTTTTTTCAGTTTCATAAGGTATTTTTGTTTTGGGGCATGGGGCTACTGCACTACAGCCCCAACTTCACAAGGTTTTTGACACTTAGTTCATCAGGCTTGGCTTGCTTGTCTCACACACTAGTCTGGATTGGGCTGATTGCTTCCCTCATTCTTGCCCCTCTTCCCAAGTTCACTGAGCAGAGTAACTCGTGAGCTGCTCTGTTCTCACAGATCTTCTCTCTGGGCTACTGCCCGACCGGGGAGTGGCTGGCTGTGGGCATGGAGAGCAGCAATGTGGAAGTCCTGCACGTGAACAAGCCTGACAAGTATCAGCTGCATCTCCATGAGAGCTGTGTGCTGTCCCTAAAATTTGCTTATTGTGGTGAGTTCAACAGAAAGGGAACTGGAGGCCATGGATGGCCTAAATGGAAAATACTTCTAAAAAATATGGTTAGAGATCATATCTGGAAAAAATGTCATGCTCCAGACAGCTGGATGCAATAATTCTATTGTTACACTTGCCCCTTGGAGAGTAATGATTTCTGTTTTGGTCTGTTTTGCTAATTTGAGAAGACTTAGGAGGCAGTGAAATTGCCTGATACAAGGTTTAGACTTTACATACTTGTTTTGGAGGGGCTGTGGGCAGTTGTTACCATTCTGAAGGGTGTGGGTGGGAAGTTTAGGAAAAATGACATGAGAACAAGGAAGCCATTAGGAATTGGCCAGGCTGAGGAGCTCAGGGTCAGGAAAGGACATTGCTAGCTCGATCCGGGCTCCTCTTCATCCTGCAGTGAAGACAAAAAGTTTGAAGTTCCCATGGGGACTTGTTCTTGTGCATTGTAGGCGGCCATATATTTTTTTCACCGAGCAGGCAGATGGATGGGTAGGTGCACTTACCAAGCACATTCTGTATGTCTGTGGGACGTAACTGGCATTTACATAATTCAACATTTAATTCTTGCATTTTATCATAAGGAGACTGAGTGAAGTAGAACAGCTTCATTATTTCCATATTTGGTGGACTGTCCTATGTTGGGTGACACTACACAGTGTCCAGGGACCAGGGAGGCTGGTACTTCTTGGTTCTCCTCAGGGTCATATAATTCACCGAGGAGGCTAGATTCAAAAACCTCTGCTTGGTCATAGACTGACTCTTTGGGCAAAGCAGTTCGTGCTTGAGACCAAGTCCTAGCTTTCTAGAAGGAATTTCAGTGTTTCTAATGCTGTGCTCATTCTAGGTAAGTGGTTTGTGAGTACTGGAAAAGACAACCTCCTCAATGCGTGGCGGACACCTTATGGAGCCAGCATCTTCCAGGTCAGTGTGACAGTGTCATCGCCTTTAAAACCAGAGTGCAGCACCTCAGAGGGAATGGGCTGGTATTCTGTTCCGGGTTAAACATGCCTACTGTCTTCTCTTCCAGTCCAAAGAGTCCTCATCGGTGCTGAGCTGTGACATCTCTGTGGATGATAAGTACATAGTCACTGGCTCAGGTGACAAGAAGGCCACAGTCTATGAAGTCATCTACTGAAAACATAACATGTTTATCATTTATAGTTGAATTGGGCCAAAATGTTTTGAATTTGTAGAAATAGAGAAGCTGTAACTTTAAAAGAATAAAAACATGTACAAAAACATAAAAACCCTATTTCCAAACCTGATACAATACTACTCCAAGTCTAAAGGAGGAGGCAATGAGTTCGTCACCAGAAGGTCACCTGTCTGCCTGCCTAAACCAGAAGGAGCACTGAGACGCGCGGACCAGGGCCATGGCTGTGGGGCTGAGGAGCAGGCCTGCTGCTCGTGCTGTGCCCATCCTTCCCGCGGGTTTGTCACTCACACCTTGAGGTGTGAGGCTGCTTTCTGTTCCGTGCAGTTCACCTCGTGTTCTGTCCTTCGTAGAGCAGTGGTGTCTCTGATGAACCTGTTTCCTGGTTTTGCATCTTGTGTAATGTTTTTTTGTATTTTTGTTGAAGGTTAAACATTTGTATAAATTGTAAATATATTTGGTTTATTACAGTAAAGGCTTTAGTACCAATAAGTAGTTCTCCTTTTCTTTCTTTACTGTTTATATCAAAGCTTTGGGATCACCGATGTAGGTTGTATAAGCAAAGTCTGTGCATGTGTTCCAAGAGTTTTAAAAGCACTTATTTTATAAATAAATTTGACTGTAGACTTCTGCTACATTAGAACATGAGTCTGCAGGGTGTGGTGGCACATGCCTGTAATCCCAGCACTCGGGAAGCTGAGGCAGGAAAATTGCCACAATTTGAGACCTTTTGGGCTACATAGTGAGTTCAAGGCCAACCTGCACTACAGAGCTGGACCATATCTCAAAAAAACAAAATGAGAGAAAAAAAGAGAACCTAGTAAGTACTTCTGAGTTACCAGTAACTCAAGGCTATGAAATGGGAGTCACTGGAGGTACATTAATGACAGTTTAATCAAGGAAGCTAAATTTACTTCATAAAGACTCATTCTTTGTTCTGAGACTCTTGTGACTGAAGATCAAATCAGATCTTTCTCTTTTCCTTTTTCCTTGTGCTGCATCAGAAGGCAGAATCTGTTTTCTCTAGGGAAACCCAGTGTTTTCAAGTCCTTATTTTCTTCCAACCTTTGCGTATAAAGACATGTTGGTGACTTGGGTTTTGTGTTACAATTATGGTGTCCAGAAAGCTGGAGAGCTCATTACCTTGTAAAAGAAAGGTGAAAGTCAGCTGGTTTTTGTCTTCATTAGTGCTTCCTTGATCCATTATGTTAATTGACTTAATCCAGCCATCCCAGCCCTCGGCCGACTCTGCTCATTAGGGCTGTCCCTGCAGCTCCAGCCATTGCCATCAGTCATTAGTCTTTGGACTTTATCTTTGTGGACAAGCTTTCACTAATTTGATTAGATGAAATCTGTAACCCTGGGCTTTTAATAAGTTACCAAGCACGTTTCTTCCTGCAAGGGCCACATGGCTCATTCCTTATGCACCTGTTACTGTTATATTTTAAAAAAGAAATGCTTCCTAATTTTGTTTTATTTCCCTAGCTATTTAAAAATAACACCTAAGGATTTTTTAATGTTCTTGTTTTCTTACAAGACAGCAAGTTGTTGGCAGTTTGTCTTAATATTTTTAATTTGTCATCAAGACTTTCTTGTTTTTATATTTTTAAGAACATTGCTTTATTTGGTTTTTGCCAAAAAATATTTGTGTACAGAATTTGTTAAATATTTTCACTTCTCACTATGAGAATGGCAAATCACTAAGTACTAAATCTGAGTTCTCTTTCATTCCTTTCTATTAGAGTAAAGTAGGTCTTGGTGGCTTATTACTGTTTGTCTTATCTGTTGTCTCCCTTTCCTCCTTGTTTTCTCCAATAACAGGTTAGACGTTCAGTTGCTGACTGAACAGTAGCTTAGAAAGACAAGGGTTCACTCTGTCCCACCTGAGGCCAAGGACCAGGCTAGCAATGCAGCTCTGTATTTCCAAGGCTGTCCCTGTTGCTCACAATTGCATCCATCAGTGGGGAAGGGCAGAGTAGGGAAAGGGCCCAGCCTGTGAGGCAGGTCACCCCCTCCTGGGTCTGCCAGCAGAGCATCCATCTGACAGCAAGACAGATTCCTTGGGGTGTGGCAGGAGCTGGAGAAGTGGAGATGCGCTAGAAAGGATTTGGAGTTGAAGTAGTCCTCTCGTCTGTTAGGGAGTTGTCTCCTCATCTTCCTTCATAGTGCATAGTTTTCCAGCTAGGCAAGGGGGTGCGGTCTGAGGATGTAGATGCTGTCATTTCGCTCCCATCTGCGCTGCACTGGAGGTGGGACCTGGGAACTCCCGTGTGCCCAGCTGGTGCTCTACCTCAGAGCCACAGCTCCAGCCACCAGCCACGTGGTTTGGTGGGAACAGTTTTGAAAGAGGTGCTGCAGTTCACACTTCACCACTGGAGGTGGCATGGGGCACATCTAGAATCTTGAGAACATATCCAGACAGTTGACAGTTTCCTACTTTTAGTGAAAAATGATAAAAGTATGCCTTCCTTACATGAACTTCTGTGGGAGCAGCACTGAGTGCAGCTGTCTCACAGAGTAATGTTGAAGGGGAAATGTTTCTTCCTAAACTCTGACCTTTGAGATGCCTCCTGTCCCCTAGGAGATGGGTCCATGGGATGGTTGAGGCCCAGCAAGCCAAATATTTGCACAGCCCTTGCATTGAACAAGGGGGAAAAGCAGAGTCCAACAGTTCTCAGCCAGCTAAACATGGGTCACTTCAGTGTGCTAAGAACCATGGTAGGCAAGTTCACCTGAAAAAATACCAGGAAATGGTTGCTGTTGACCCTACTTAAGGCAGAGAAGCAGTGGCCCTAAAGTGACTTTACTAGGATATCTGTAATTAAAATTTCATGAGTGGGCTATGACTTTTTCCCCCTAGTTTATGGATTTTCTATTTGCTTCACTTCAATACTCACTCCTGTGTAACTTTCTTAAGTACCTTGCCACGCAGTGTTAAAGATGTATATACATTTGTATTCTCTGGTAATTTAAATATTTATTTCTCATTCTTTTTATTAACAAATCATAGCTTAATTTTTTCTACTCTACCTTCACCCCAGTGCTGGACATCCAGCCCGTGTACGGGGGCATCTAGGAAAGCTGTCTACCCTACATCATCATCTGTTGTGTTCCTCATTGCTGGGACAGAATACCGGACCCCCACAGCTTCAAGGAGGAGAGGTTTATTTTGGCTCAATATCTAGTCCATTGTTGCTGGCTCCAAAGCAAGAAGGACCTGCCAAGAGAAGAACTGCTCACAAAAGGGCCTCAGGCAGCAGGGAGGGAAGGGAGGAGCCAGGAAGACAGACAGACAGGGAGGGAGGGAGGGAGGGAGGAAGGGAAAGAGAGAGGGGGGACAGAGAGAGAGAGAGAATGCCAGTCACACCCCAGTGGCTGCTCCTGAGACTTCTACTTGTGCCGCACAACTTTCCCAACACTGCCCCAAAGACCATGGAGTCCTTTCAGTACTTCATTTAATTCCACCAAGGAGGTCCAAGCCTGTCCAGGAGGGAGCTAGAGTGATGCCGTCTCAAACCCCGTGCTCTGCTGCAGCCTGTGGGTTACCTCTGGATAAGGTCTAAAGAAATCCTCACATCACCACAGTTTCGTCTTTTGAGAAACACACAGATTGTGTCAGGGTCATTTTCTGCCCCAGAGAATATATTCTCCCAGATAGCCAAAGCTTCTTTGCCTGCCTGTTTTAGCACTTAATAAACAGCTGAATGTCTGTTCTTGCTCAGGCTCACATTTCTTGAGATGCAAATGCTTAGTCTACATCAGAAGCACCAGGAGGATTAAATATTCAGATGTGTTGGCCTAACACTGGAACCCTCCCACATTTTAGGCTTTGTGGCTAAGGATTAAAATGTAAAATTTACTGTTTTGACATCTGTCCTGATAGGCTCCATTTACTTTTGATATATAATAGGTCTAAACCAAAATTGATCTCTTGAAAAGAATTGTTTCTGTGCTTAGGCTGTTCTCAAAGCAGTATGACTCTTCGAAGATTCGGGGGATAGGTCACAGTGACCTGTGTAGTGGAGCCCTCAACAATGTCCCCAGTGCTGGAGTGGACAGTACTGGGGTGGTGATGCGTAGTTAAAAGTCAGAAATTGTTCTGTAAAAATTGGAATATTGACTAAATACAAAAAAGCAAAGTTACTGACTTTATATTTTGCAGTCCTGGGGATCATACCCAAGGGTTCATGACTGTGAGGCAAGCCCTCAATCACTAAGTTACATCTCTATGAGACAGTCTCACAGCGTTGCCCAGCATGACCTGGAACTTGTGATCCTTCTGCCTCAGTCACCTAAGTGGGTGTGATTGCAGGCACATGGGCACCATTCCCAGCCAAGTTGTCCACATTGGAGTTTTTATTTATCAAATGACCTTACATATTAGATAAAGATTGAGAAGGGTGACCCCAGTAAGATGCTTTGGGTGGATGATGAGGGTTGAATTACTGTGGAGAAAGGTGTGGTAGAACTGGGGTATGAGGCATTGCCCAAGACAACCAGCAGAGACAGATGGGCCACACTCAGGAACCTTGAGTCCGAATCAGCAGTGCAAAGCTGGCTGACACCATCCTTTCAAAGGACTGGAAGAGCTGTTGTGTGCCAACCAGGCTCTGTGCCAGACAAGGGCTTCCACACCATCTCCAGTAAAGGGATTGAAAGTTTGTATGCACCCATGTGGTAAGAAAACTTTCCTATTTGATATATTTGTAATAATAAATATGTTCTCCCCTGGTTTTTAACTTGGCAAATATGGCAGGGTACAAAGAAAAAAAATCCATTGGTCTACCTAGAAACCATGTTACCATGTTTATGAAGGGCACATCAGGCAATTCAGGTAATTACTGAATGCTGACATTTGAGTGTTCGCTACACATCAAGGACAGTTAAGCACTTGTGTTTTCTCACTGAACTGCTGCACAAGCTTCATGAAGTAGTTACTGGCTTTGCATTTAACAGATGAGGAAACTGAAGCAAATAGAGATCGAGTAACTGGCTTGAGGTCACACAACTCACTGTTGGTAGAGTCAGGTTTTAGGCTAGGTAGTGAGAGTCCAAAGGTAAATATCATTCTTTTTGTGCTACATTTTTGTCCACATGGTGAAGGTTTTTTTTTTCTTTGTTTTGGTTTTTCTTTCTTCCCCTCCCTCCCTATCCTTCTCCTCTTCATCAGTTTGTTTTTGAGATTGAGTCTTTCTGTGTTGCCCAGGCTGGACTGGAACTTGTGGTCCTCTTGTCTCACTCTCCCAAGTGCTGGGATTACAGGCAGGCACCACCACGCCTGTCTCTCTGCACTTTTATAACCACTCTTTTGTTTGTTTATTATTCACACTTTGCAAAGTTGGATATAGAATATTTTGCTCATTGTTCATTTATTAGATTTATTAGGTTCAAACATAGGCTGTTTTGAACATTGAGATAAAAGAAAACATTTCTGTGGCATTTTTCTCTGTTTCTGTTCCTGTCCTTAGGTTTAATCCCGAGAAAATTATGGT